TGACTACTCGTGATGGCGTGGGACTCCCAGAGGGGTGGGGGTCTCGGGGACCCTGAGGGAATGGCGGCATGGTCAGAGGCCGGGACAGGCGCGTCCATGTGTTGATGATATGGGAGGCAGCTTTGAGAGTGCGGAGTGTGGTGCTCGGGTCAGCTTTTATAGCTCATGTTGGGCAAGCCTCCCAGGCATCCAGGGCGATTTCGTATTGAGTCTCCCTCACATCAGGAGAGGCCACGCAGGCACGATCAGTCCCCACCGTCCACAGCCTCAGGACGTCAGAGGGTGGCCGCCGAGGAGAAGGCCTGGTGAAGGGCAGCAGGGGCGTTTTGTTTGGAGAGTAGGTTATGCCTCGCTGAGGGTTTCTGCCAGCTCTGGACTCCATCTCCATCCAGGCCGGGTGTCTTCAGAGGACAGCATCTGCGCTTCTCAAAACAAGTTGGTCACCCTCACACCCGAGCGAGCCTGGCTTCTGTCACCCTCTGGACTTTTCCGAGCCTCACTCTGTCTGTCTCTCTGCGGAGCGCAGTGAGGCGGTTCTGCACCTGAATTCACTGCAATCGCTCTGTCTTAAGGTGCAGTGTCATCGCAGCTGGAGCTTCAAGGGATGTAAAATGCTTCCAGCAGACAGAGGAGCACCCCAAACATCAGTGCCAGATCTCAGTTTTCTAATGGGCTGTGGGAACAGCAAAATGACATAATCCTGTCTTGCATATTGATTACTTAGACACTAAAAGCTTCTCTCCTTTGTTAAACAAAGGAACCCAGACAAGAAAAACAATAACAACCACCACAAAGAGTAAACCTCCTGTCGGGGGGCTGTTCGTTCTCAAGCAGGAGAGCAGCACCCATGCAGAGGGAGGCGTTTTTTGTTGGACTCCGCCCTGTCGGATCAGCCTTGGGATTAGCTCCTGTCCAAAGACAATGCTGGGTGCAGGCCAGAGGACAACAGCCTCTCAGCCCATTATTAGCCCTGAGGTGGAGGGAGGAGTGGCTGAAAGAAGTGAAAAAAGGAGGCATCCCCAGCTGATCAGAAACCTGAGACCTCAGCGCCTCCAGACTCTGCTCATAGGAGGAGCCAGTAATGAAGGCAGTCCGATGGCAATGACCTGGTCTCCGCAGGAGCAGCAGAACCATGTGCCCTGCAGCCTCCTGAGAGTAGGGCTGCCTGCACTTCCTTCAGGATGGAGAGGAGCCAGGGGAATCACCAGGGAGTCGGAGAGAGGAAAGGGCACACCTCCCTCAGGATGGAGGGGAGGAAGGAGAGCACCATAGGAGAGAAGGAGAGGAGGGTCACACCTCCCTCAGGATGGAGAAGAGGAGGGGGGAGCATCACAGGAGAGGAGAAGAGGAGGGTCACACCTCCGTCAGAATAGAGAGGAGGAGGGGGAAGCATTGAAGAAGAGGAGAGGGGGTCACACCGTCACTACTCCCTCAGGATGGAGGGGAGGAGGGGGCACCACAGGAGGCAAAGAAGGGAAGGTCACACCTCCCTCAGGATGGAGGGAAAGAGGAGCAGGCATTGCATAGGGAAGACAGTGCTGAGGAGGGTCCCATTGGAAGGGATAGGGTGGCTCAGGCAGAGGGCAATCAAGTGCAGGTGCCTGGAGCTGCCTTCCCCGTAAGTGGGGGCACCCACTTCCTGCTTGTCTTGCTGGGTGAGACACAGTGGTGCCGTGGGTCTCTCTCCAGGTCTGGTTGGGAGCCCTACCCTGCTTTGTGATCATGGTCAGTGTCAGAGTTGCCCTCTGCCTCTGTTTTCTCATCTGTAAATTGGGGATTTGTAGTAATGACTCTACTGGAATATGTCTGCTGGAATTCTTTATGTGAAGGTCTGAGAGGATGCCTGGCGGGTGGGAGGCATTCCATCAGCAGGGTCCTTGTGTCACTCCTGCAGCTGATACTCCTGCACTTTCATTGCTGTCACTGCAGCTTCTGCAAGTGTGTTCATGTGCCATCCTACTATCCACACCCCACATGTTAAACAAAACTTGTCTACAGCAATGGCTCCCAAACTTGCGGGTACGTTAGAATCTCCTGGGAATCTTGTGAAAATTCCAAAGCTTAGCCATGCCTCCCGTGAGTAAAATTCTAATCTCGGGTTGAGACTCAGACCTCAGTGTGTTCTGAAGCTACCATGGTGATTCCAATGCACAGACAGGTTTGGGAACAACTGGCCTAGACAGTGTATTAGAGAAGAGGAGAGAGCCAGCCACTGGTACATACTCAGGTGTTTGTAAAAACTGTCTTTTTCTGGTAACCTGTTAACTCCATTTCTCAATATTCTTTATGACATAGGAGACCACCACCCCAATGGCCAGACTCCATTGTGTGGACACAGCTAAAAATCGGGTGCTGATTAAACCTGAGCAGGGTCCATGGCCATATTACATCATCTTCCCTTAGAAGGAGCGATGTTATTCTTGTCCTTCCCAATGTCTTCTCCTCTGATCAAGCCATTCTCTAGGGACTTTTGTTCTAGCTGGATCCAAGGATCACATAATCTCCCATGACTGTGCCTTTCCTACTGATATTTCAAGCTCCCTTTGAAAATAGGAAATTCAGAGGGGAACAAAAGATTTCAAAATGGATTTGCCAAGACCCAATAAGGGGCTATTTTTGCCCATTAATTCTAAATGCCTTTCTTCCTGCTGCAGGAGGGAATTCATCATCTTTGGCAGCATAGCTGTGCTGTTCTCCCACACAATTCATTACCCTCCCTACCTACCCAGGCATTTCTGTTTTTTCTTCCGAATGGCTGTGCCTCTTTCGCTATCGAGGCCGATTGCTTCCCTCTGGCTATTTTGCCACATGTTTATCCACATCAAATCTTCTCTTCTTTGCACCTGTCCATTTCAGAAATTTAGATTTATCTCTTCTGTGACCGAGTGAGAAATTTCCTGTGTCCGAGTTGTTTGAAATTGTTTGTGGTGGGAGTTTAGAAATGATAGAATGCTGCAGTACCCTGCCTGCCTTCAGTGGTGAGGCTGTGAATGTCCCCCAGGGAGGGTCCTGAGCTGTGCTGGGTGCTACTGCAGGCAGCTACAGACTCACCCAGCATGCCCTTCCCATGAAATAAACACAGATTGGATTTTATGTTCCAGCATTTATATCTGTAAACATTTTGGGATCAGGCTTATTCTAATGTTTTCTTCTGCTCCCATCCAAGTTTTTTCCCTTTTTTATTTTCTTTTGAGACAGAGTCTTACTCTGTCACCCGGGCTGGAGTGCAATGACGCGATCTCGGCCCGCTGCAATTTCTGCCTCCCGGTTCAAGGGATTCTCGTGCACCAGACTCCGGAGTAGCTGGAACTACAGGCATGTACCACCACACCTGGCTCAGTTTTTGTATTTTCAGTAGACAAGGTTTCGCCATGTTGGCCAGACTGGTCTCGAACTCCTGGCCTGAAGTGATCCACCTGCCTCAGCCTCCCAAAGTGCTAGGATTACAGGTATGTGCCACAGCACCAAGCCAAGTTTTTTATTTTTTATCTTAAGTGACACACATGGATATCACTTTACACTTGTAAAACAATATGCCTATAGCCTCCTCCCAGGGATGCTGTATCTGTCTTGATTCTTGCCTAAGCTCAAGCCTTTGTAGATGGGCCTTTAAGGAGCACTGGTCTTCCCTGTGCTTTTCTACCCTGCAGCGAATGTACATCTTGTATGGACACCACTGTTTCTTTTTGCCCTTTCCGTGCCATTTCTCTTCTCTTACCTTTCAGGCAAGTGAAGCTATGAGTGGTTGTGTTTATGTCTGTCTCATCAGCATCATGGGCTGAAGGGCTTGCATATCTTCTCTCCTCAGCTTCAGATGCTGAGAAGCGATTGCCTTGCCCTCTAGGTAGGTGGAATGGGTGTTTCCTTCCCTTCTCTGTTTGTACCTTAATCACATGCTGTGTCTCACCCGCTGCTTGGATCTTGTGTGTGTGTGTGTGTGTATGTGTGTGTGCGTGTCCAGTAAAACTTTATTTACAAAATTAGGAAGTGGTTCAAATTTGGCCCACAAACCGTAGTGTGCCAGCTCCTGCAGTAGACTTATGACATGCTCACTGCTCTGTTCCAGACACACCTAGAAGCGAGGATGCTCAACATGATGTTTGTTGAGACACAAGATGCTCAACAAATACATGTTGAAAGAACAAGTACATAAATGCATAAAAAGAGAACAACCCGCAAAGACAGCAATTAAACTCACCAGTAAACACATAAAATTGTTCAAGCTCACATAAGGAGAGGCAAGTTAAAATCATGACATAATTTGCTTACTCTCAGTTTTATGAGGTTGATTTGTGTTTCCTTGTCATTTGTGAACTTTTATTTTAAGTTCTGGGCTACATGGGCAGGTTTGTTATGTAGGTAAAGTTGCATCATTGGGGTTTGCTGTACAGATTATTTTATTACCCGGGTATTAAGCATAGTATCCATTAGTTGTTTTTCCTGATCCTCTCCCTCCTCCCACCTTCTACCCTCCAGTGGGCCCTGGTGTGTGTTGTTCCCCTCTATGTGTCCCTGTGTTTTCATCATTTAGCTCTCATTTATAAGTGAGAAAATATGGTGTTTAGTTTTCTGTTCATGCATTAGTTTGCTAAGGATGATGACCTCCAGATCCATCTATGTTTCTGCAAAGGACATGATCTCATTCTTTTTTATGGCTGCATAGTATTCCATGGTATATATGTACCACATTTTCTTTGTCCAGTCTACCATTCATGGGTATTTCTGTTGATTCCCTGTCTTTGCTATTGTGAACAGTGGTGCAATGAATATATGCATGCATGGGTCTTTATGATAGAATGATTTATATTTCTTTGGATATATACCCAGTAATGGGATTGATGGGTCAAATGGTATTTATGTTTTTAGGTCTTTGAGGAATCACCACACTGTCTTCCACAATGGTTGAACTAATTTACACTCCCACCAACACTGTATAAGCATTTCTTTTTCTCAACAACCTTACCAGCATCTGTTATTTTTTGACTTTTTAATAATTGCCATTCTGACTGGTGTGAGATGGCTTGTCATTGTGGTTTTGATTTGCATTTCTCTAATGATCAGTGATGTTGAGCTTTTAAAAATATGATTGTTGGCTCCATGTACCTTTATCTATCTCTGCCCATGGACTTAAGAGACCACGTGCTTCATCACACTCCAGGAAAGCAATAGCCATTACTATAAAATACAATCTTTGTCCAAAAAAGAAAAAACTTAAAAAGGGGGTTCTTAAAGGTTGAGGGAGGGGTGGGGCAGGAGCAGGGGGGAGCAATGTCTCTGTTACACAATAAAAGGAGACCCCAATAAACATAATCATGCCCTCTCAGAGAGGGGAAAGTGACGCCAAGAATGCCAACCATGGTGTTTCAAGAATTCCCCTCTAGTTCTCTCCATGTCAGAGGAACCACAAGCAACCCCCTGTTGCTCCCCAAAGCTGCACAGCCCCAAATCCCAACCTAGATGGTCTGTCTCTTCCTGCAGGAAATCGAGGGTGAAGTTGCTGAATGAGACCACATGAAGCTTTGGCCAGCCCCAGCTTTCTGAGATCCAGCTCTCTCTGATGCTTCTCAGTGCAGCTACTGGGTTTGAACAACGAGAGCTTCCTGTTTCCACACTCTGCCAGCTCACTAGCTGACACCTGTCATGTCAGAGCCCTCACCTCCCTCTGTCTGGCTTTCACAGGCTGCCTGTGCTACAAGACATGGATCCCTGTCTCTGCTCTGCTTCTCTTAATGGCGCTGGCTGTTGCTACCAGGTGACACAGTAATATTTCACTGCAGCAGTGGTAGGAAGCCATATACTGCTCCCTGTGGCTCTTGCTCTCAGGGGGCCTGGTTACATTTTAACTTTTTGTTTACTGGGTGCATCACAAACATTAGGTAAATTTATAAAATTAAAATCATAAATATAACCATGCTAATAAATCTATACCACATTATTTTATTCTTACTATTTACCTACTGATTCTTTACTGTATATTGACCATATATCTATCATTAATATGTTAGATTTACTGACATAAGGAGACTTTGAAGCTGAAGAAAAATGATACTATAAATAAGTCCCTTAGAATTTGTTAGTTTAGATCAGGCAGGGATGACCATCGTCAAAATGTTTGCATGAGAACTGACCTTAAATACAGCAATGGAATAATTCAAAACTAGAGCACATCTCGACTAATGATGTAAATAAAGGGAAGCAGAGGCATGGATAATCCAAAGCAATGAATAATAAAAAGGTTTTATGCTTTGGATTAAAGTATTTATTTTGCATTTTGCAACTCATGTGTGTCTTTCATGCTGTTCTATTTAAAGTGGTTTATTGATTCCACAGTGACCAAAGATACCGGAGGCAGAAACGGGCCAGACTAGGATTTGTTCTATGACTCACCTGCAGAATGAATGGTGCATGTGAAGCAGATGGCAGCCAGGCTTAGCAGCACACATGGACACAGTGCTGGTCTTATGTTAGAATGCTTTCATGTTCAGAAACACATATACTCCATCCCACTCTATGCTGTACATCCCTGGAATATTCTGTTGGTCCTGGAACACTGCAGACATGATGGAGACAGGAGCTTAAAACGTGCTTGTGTCGTGGGGCTGGGTCCCCGGCAATTCTGTCGTCACCATGAGAAGATCATGCTTGGTTGGCCCATGACCCATGAAAAAGAAGAGAAATGTAAAGAGCAGAGAGCTTCAGCTAAGCCCAGCTGGGTACGAAAGCCTCTGGGTTAAATGACCAGGGTGATACTCTTCCTGCTGAGTGGGGTTCTGGGAGCAGGACGACTTTAGCAAGCAAGAGAGGCAGTGCCGCTGGGCACACAGGGAGCACGCTGGCATCATCTCTGCTCCACCTATGGGCAGTGGAGACTTGAGCCCATTATTTGAAATCTCTAAGCCCCAATTTTCTCATCTGTAAAATAGCAATAATTATACTAATCTTGCAGGGATTTCCTGAGAATTAAATGAGCCAAAGTATATGCCTATAAAACACTCAGCACAATTCCTGGCTCTTAGAAAATGCTCAGTACGGTGACTGGTAAAAAAAATTACAGCAGAACATGGGAAGCACTGCCGGTGGAAAATGCTGGGGTCTGAGTGTGCCCACTGCACACTTTCTGGAAATGATGGAGACTGTGGTACCCGGACTAGCTAAGGTCTGAGGAGTTATAGGTATTTATGTCAAAACACTTGCTTGTTTTCTGTGAATCGTGAATCCTCAAAGGTGTTTTTGCATGATGCAATTCTATCTAGAGCATGTATCATTGAGCCCACAAATAGATGTCAATATAGGTGAATTCCATAATTAGTTTGGAATCCTACACATGTAATATTTGGTAACAGGAGTCTGAGCCCAGCAAGTGTTTTCTAGCACGGTTATGTGATGTGTGGTTAACTCTGGGTTAATACTATGATCCAGCCCAGCCCTGCCTCTCAGAAAGAAATAAAAATTAATGTTCATAGAATGACTATAGTTGGTATAAAATTATAGATTAATAGTTTTTCAGACATCAAATGGGGAAAGGAGATAAACAGAATGTAGTCAGTTCATGGGCTATATCTCATTGTAAGATTTATTTTTGATTGACAAATAATAATAATGTGTCTTATAGGGTCCACTGTGATGTTGTGATCTATCTACACATCGTAGAAAGAATTAATCCAGCTAATAAACATCCATCACTTCACCAATGTATCTTTTTTTGTGGTGAGAACATTAGAAATCTATTCTTTCAGCAACTTTAAAATGCACAATACATTATTATTAACTGTGGTCAAGATGTAGTGCAATAGATCAGGAAAAAGTATTCTTCCAGTCTGATTGAAATCTTGTACCTTTTGAACAACGTCTCTTCTTTCCCATCCCTTCCCTCCAGACTCTGGTAACCACCCTTCTACTCTCTTTTTATGGGACCAACTTTTAAAGATTCTTCAAAGTGAGATCATACAGTATTTTTCTTTCTGTTCCTGGCTTCTCAGACTTAGCATAATGTCCTTCAATTCCATCTGTGCTGTTGCATATGACAAATTTTCTTCTTTTGAAGGCTGTGTAGTATTTCAGTGTGTACACGTGCTGCATTTGCTTCATTCATTCATTGATGGACACTTAGGTTGATTCCATTTACTACTGTGAATAGTGCTGAAATGAATGTGGGACTGTAGCTAGATATCTCTTTGACATACTGATATCAGTTCCTTTGGCCATATATGCAGAAGTGGGTTTGCTGGATACTATGGTACTTTTACTTTCAGTTTTTTGAGGAAACTCCATACTGTTTTTCAAAAAGGCTACACTAATTTACATGCTTACCAACAAGGGTTCCCTTTTCTCCACATCACCAACAATACTTGTTATCATTAGTCTTTTTGATAATAGCCATTCTAACAGTTGTGAGGTGGTATCTCACTGAGGTGTTAATTTGCATTTCTCTAATAATTAGTGATGTAGAATATCTTTCATATACTTCTTGGCCACTTGAATCTCTTCATTTAAGAAATGGCTGTTCAGATCCTTTGTTCATTTTTAAATCACGTTATTTGTTTTGAGTAATTTGAGTTCCTTATACGTTTTCGATATTAACCCCTTATCAGATGCATGGTTTGCCAATATTTTCTCCCAGCCTGTGGGTTGTCTCTTCACTCTGTTAATTGTTTCCTTCGCTGTGCACAAGGTTTTCAGCTGGGCACAATCCCATTTATCTATTTTTGCTTTTGTTGACTGATGCTTTTAGAGTCCTATCCAAAAGATCACTGCCCAGAACAATGTTATGGAGCATTTCCCTATATTTTCTCATAAATAGTTTTATAGTTTCAGGCCTTACATTTAAGATTTTTATCCACTTTGAGTCGATTTTGTATATGTTGTGAGATAAGGATCAAATTTCATCCTCCTGCATGTGGATATCCAGTTTTCCCAACACCATTTATTGAAGAGACTGTCTTTTCTCCATTGTGTGTTCTTGGCACCTTTGTTGAAAATCAATTGACTGTAAATACTTGGGTTTATTTCTGGGCTCTCTATCCTGTTGCATTTGTCAATGTGTCTGTTTTTATGCCAGTGCCATGCTGTTTTTATTGCAATAGCTTTATAGTAGTTTTTGAACTCAGGGGTTGTGATACCTCTAGTTTTGTTTTTTGTTTCTGTTTGGTTGTTTTTGCTCAAGATTGCCTTGGCTCTTTAGGGTCTTTTCTGATTCCACACAAATTTTAGAATTGCCTTTTCTATTTCCTTAAATGACGACATTGGAATTTTGATAGGTATTGCATTGAATCTGTAGATTGCTTTTGGTAGTATGAACATTTTAACAATATTACTTTTTCCAATCTATGGACGTGAGCCATTTTTCCATTTATTTATGTGTTCTTCAATTTTTTTCACTAATATTTTACAGTTGTCAGTATACAGATGTTTCGCCTCCTTGTTTAACTTACGTCCAAGTATTTTATTTTTCTTATGCTAGTGTAAATGGGATTTTTAAAAGTTTCTTTTTTGGATAGTTCATTGTTAGTGTATAAATACGTTGATTTTTGTATATTGATTTTGTAAGCTGCAACTCTACTGAATTTATCAGTATTAACAATTTTTGGTGGAGTGTTCAGGATTTTCTGTACTATAATTTAGATTACCATAATTACTATAATTTATATGGTATATTATATATGATACTTCATATTTAATATAACATTTTTAATTTAATAAAATAATATAAACATATTATATATTATATATTTAATTTATTAAATGTGAAATTTAATATATTATAAAATATATTAAATTTATTAAATATATTAAATATGAAATGATATATATTTTATATATAATAAAATTATAATACAATTTATATTATAAATTTTATATGCAACATATAAAATTTTTATATTATATATTATATATAATAAATAATGTAAGCTATAAATAAGTTATTATTTATGGGTTATATATAATTTATACAATTATACATAATTTATATATAATCTGTATTATGTAGAAAATGACCATGTTATCAGCAAACATGATAACAATAGTCTTTAGGGTTTTCTATATTATATATAATGTATATGTAAATGTATTCTAAATATTTTCTATAGTATAGAAAATAATATGTTATCAGCAAAGAGAAACAATTTCCCTTTTTTCTTTCATGTAAAATGGCTTTGTTTATTTTTCTTGTCTAACTACTCTTGCTAAGACTTCCAGAACTATGTTGAATAGAATTGGCAAGAGTGGGCCTCCCTGCTTCGTTCCTAATCTTAGAGGAAAAGCTTTAAGCTTGTTACCATTGGGTATAATGTTAGCTGTGGGCTTGCTCTATATTGCCTATATTAATATTTAGATATATTCCTTATATAACTATTTTGTTGAGAGTTTTTTTTTTTTTTGGAACAGATGTTAAATTTTGTCAAATGGTTTTTCTGCATATATTGAAATGTGGTTTTTGTCCTTCATTTTGTTAATGCAGTATATTGTATTTATTAATTTACATATGTTGAACCACTCTCGCATCCCTGGGCTAAATCTCACTCGATCATAGTGAATGAACTTTTTAACGTGCTGTTGTATTTGCTCTGCTAGTACTTGTTAGAGAATTTTCGTATCTATGTTCATAATAGATATTGGTTGGTAGTTTTCTTTTTGTATAGTGTCCTTGCCTGGCTTTGGAGTCAGCATAATGCTGACTTCAAGAAAGGAGTTTGAAAGCATTTCCTCCTCCTCAATTATTTGAAGATTTTCAGAAGGGTTGGCATTAGGTCCTTTAAAAACGTTTGGTAGAATTCAGCAGTGTAGGAATCAGGTCTTGAGCTTTTCTTTGATGGGAGACTTTATTACTAATTCAATCTCCTTACTCACTATTGTTCTGTTCAGATTTTCTGTTTCTGCTTGATGCAGTCTCGATAGGTTGCATGTTTCTAGGAATTTACCCATTTTTCTAGGTTATATAATTTGTGGGTGTATAGTTGTTCTTAAGCGTCTCTTACGATCATTTATATTTCTGTGGTATTGATTGTAATGTCTCCTCTTTCGTTTCTGATTTTATTTATTTGAGTCCTTTCTCTTTCTTCTTTATTATTATAACTGCCAATATTGTTTATCTTTAAAAAAGCCCAACATTGGTTATGTTGATGATTTCTATTCTTTTTCTAGTTTCTATTTTGTGTATTTATTATCTAATCTTTATTTCCTTTATTTTGCTAAATCTGAACTTATTTGGTTCTCTTTTTATAGTTCTTTGAGGTGGAACATTAGGTTTTTTGAGATTTCTCTTCTTTTTTGACTGAGATGTTTATTGTTATAAGGCTTCCTCTCAGGACTGCTTTACAGCATCCCATAAATTTTGAAATACTCCGTTTTCATTTGTCTCAACATATTTTTAATTTCTCCTTTAATTTCTTTCTTGATGCATCGGTTATTCAGAAACAATTTGCTTAGTTTCCACATACTTGTGAGTTTTCCAACATTCTTTCTGGTTTTGAGTTCTACTTTTGTGTAATTGTGCTCAATGTGATTTCAGTCTTCTTAAATTTATTAAGTCTTGTTTTGTGGCTTAACATATGATCTATCCTGGATAATATTTCATGTGTACTTGAGAAGGATGTGTAATTCTGTTGCTGTTGGACAGAATGTGCTGTATATTTCAGTCAGGTCCATTTGGTCTAAAGTGTAGTCAAGTCTAATGGTTTCTTATTGATTTTCTGTCTAGATGATTTGTTTAATGTTGCAGTTGGGGTATTGAAGTCTTCTATTATTATTGTATTGTGGTTTCTCTCTTCAGATCTATTAATATTTGTTTTACATATTTAGGTGCTCTGATTTTAGGTGCATATATATTTATAATTGTTACAACTTCTTAAAAAATTGACCTATTATTATATAATGACCTTCTTTGCTTCTTTTTATGGTTTTTGACTTAAAATATTTTTTACTCTGATATAAGCATAGCTATTCCTGCTCTCCTTTGGTTTCCATTTGTGTGCAATATCTTTTTCATCTCTTCACATTTAGTCTATTTTGTCCTTAGATGTGAAATGAGTCTCTTGTAAGAAGAATACAGTTGGGTTATTAAAAAATTATTCAGCCACTCTATGTCTTTTAACTGGAGAATTTAATCTATTTAAATTCAAAGTAATATTGAATGGTAAGTACTTACTATTGCCATTTTTTCAATTGTTTTCTAATTAATTTGTAGATCCTTTGTTTCTTTATCTTTTGCTGTCTTTCTCTGGGGTTTCGTGAATTTCTATAGTAGTGTGCTTTGAATCCTTTCTTGATATCTTTTGTCGTTTTGCTTTGTGGTTACTGTGAGCCTTACCTAAAAACATTTTCTACTAATACAGGTCAGTTTGAGCTTGGTTATAAGTTAACTTTGATCACTTATGCAAACTATGCTTTTACTCGTTGCCTAATTTGTTTTTAATGGTATGTTTTTTATCTTTTATAGCTTTTTTTCCCTTAACAAATTATTGTAGCTATTTTGCTAATTTTGTTTTTTTGCCTTCATACTAGTT